TTGTTCAATCTCTAACATTATGTTGTCCCTTTGTTTTTTTTCTCATAGTAGCTTTATCTGGTGTGTTCCTGTTTGGTTGTGACACCATCCTGGAGAGAAATATCAGCTATGCTGCTGCCATCAACACCTTTGTTTATAGATGTTGGAGGTTGACCTGTGTTTCAGTGTAGTCCTGTTTCTTTGACTGTCACTAACTGACATAGGAGGTTGCTTGGAGCTTCTCTGCCTGGCTGCATGTTTCCTGAATTTGATGATTGACAGTGGCCTTTTGTATCTATGCTTCTTTATCTATGTCTGCTTCTGTGTCCTTCAACCCCAGTCAGCCTCAGCAGAGTACTGCTCACACCGAGGCCTGCCTCTGCTGGAGGTTTATTCCTGCTAAAAGAGAGTTTTCCTCCTCACTCTCACTGCAAGCATGGACGTAGTTTGGGGGGCATGGGGGACATGTCCCATGCACTTTTTCAAAACACAGTTTTAGAGGACATTACACATTTTACTTTCAAAAAACGATCCTACCCAACAGTACACCAGCACTTGTCGAGTACTAGGACCGAGCAGAAAACTGCATCTAAAGCTGAAGCACTCTTCCTGAGTGTTGACCGCCCACAAACTCCTGATTGGCCCTCCATCTTTGTCATCATGTGTTATTGGCTGTCACTGCTGTCAATTCTCAGAGGCTCACTTTACAAACATCAGATGTGCCACAGAATCGGGTCTGTGTTTGGATGGTCACATTGTTGCTGAAGTCCTATTCGCTACTGTAATTAGAACTGTCGGGTTGCAATCCTTTTTCTCTGCTGGTACCTTTTGGATATCTTAAACGGTCCAGGAGTTACAGTCTTGAAGAAGGTCTGCAAAAGACAACAAGGAATCTGCCAGGGGAGGATCTAGGATTCCTGCAAGTCTTTAACTCTGTTTATTCCTCTCTTCATCAACAGCAAACTTCGATGATTTGGGGACGTTTGATCATTATTTGCCAAAGTTATGAGTGGGGAATCATATATTTTAGCCACCTGATATAATCCGCTTCCCCATAACATGGAGAAAAAAAAAAACAAATTCTGTGAATTTTGAAACTGTTTTTTTTTTTCTATATTCTGTTTGAAACATTTATTATTTTATATTTTGAAACCCAAAATAGTTCAACTAAATCTGACTGTTGGTTTGATGATCTTTATGAATTGTATTTGATTCCCAAACCAAAATGTCTGCAGTAATATTGCTCCAGACATTTGGTTTGAACTTTTTTTTGAATGTTTGTAAATTGTTTGTAAAACATTAAAACAGAAAATACATTTCATAGAGATCATAAAAGGGGGAACGGATTATATCAGGTGGCTAAAATATACGATTTCCCTCTCATAACTTTGGCAAATAATGATAAAATGTCACCAAATCCAAAAAGTTTGTTGTTGATGAAGAGAGGAATGAACACAGTTAAAGAGTTGCAGATGAAATAATTTCTTACCATGTTATGGAGGGGGAATGGATTATTTTAGGCAGCTGAAATATCCATTCTCTCCTCTCCTCCACCGATATATTTGGGAAAAAAAGAGCAACTGTTTCCAGATTTAAAGAAAAATTGTTATGTGTGATAGCATGTAGTAGACTAGAAATGTCCTTAATCCAGTAATCTGTATATTTTACATTAGAACGGGATTTACCAGAAAGTCTGCACTCTCATCTTTTCAGGAATACTTCATTTCTGTGCCCTGCAATCAGCCAGTTTCCATCCTCTTATATCAGTAATGAAAAATGATAAATACAGACATCCCAAGTCTCCCGGAAGTTCCGGGAGTCTCTCTAATATAGATAGTTGTTCACGGATGCCCGCGGGTCAGATAAATTGTCCCGGAATTTAGACTACGAGAGGTGGTGTTTTTTTATTGCCAGTAAGAGCAGAAAGGCAACAATTTGTGGATCATGTGCGGATTAGAACTACTGCGATTGCGCAGACAACTAGAGAGCGGGGTGTGGGGAGGAGGTTGCTGGTGAAACCTGTGCAGCGTCTGTTAAAAGTGATGCTCTGTTCAACCAGAGTTCCAGGCGACTGGTTGATCAGAGAGCTGATTGGATAAGTCCTATAAGTTTTTCTGGGTTACTCTCTGACAGTCACCTAGTTACCACTTAAAGCTGTGCATCCTGTGAAACGTCAGAGTTTGAGTAAAAAATTAAAATGTAGAACTAATTTTACAGCAGAATATACTAAAGTATATCCACGTCTAGTGAAGGTAAGGAACAGTGGCAGATCTAGACCAAATGTACCAGGAAGGAAGGAGGGGGCCAGTGTGTTTATACATAACTATGTTATTTATCATCATCTACGAGCTCAGCCTCTTAACCTTAATATTTGCGTTGCCTTAGAATTCGTTATTTATAATTACTTAGGACCGGGTCTCGCAGCCATGGAGGCAGACATCTTTGCGCTATGGCAGCGCAGAGCAAACAAACTAGCGATTGCGAGATTGCCCATTACGCTCGAAAGTAACTATGGCAAGTTGAGAGAGATGAACTGAGACGGTACTGAACACACAGACTAATGAAATACTATCTGTAAAATTATCTATGTAAACAAACCTCATCACTTGAGAAGGTAGGTGATGCGGACGTCGTGGAAGACATTTTGTCCCGTAACGCTCGCCGTACTGTTGGGGGGGAGAAGCGGTGGGGAGGAGATGTTCATGTTGCTGCGGTCTGCAGTCTGAACGTTAGATGTCGCTAAAAATTACACACAGTAGCTTTAATTTAAGTTAAAACCTCTGTTTTCTATAAAAATTCATTTAGAACTCAAGTTCATATTCAAATTCATCTGAAAAAAATTGATTTTTTTTATTTGTTGTGAAAAAAAAAAACATTTAACAGATGAAAACTCGGATCCTATCTCAGTACCACTGAAGCTATCACCTTATTGTTTTTGAATAATAGGTAAAACAGAATTTGTAAAGAAAAAGAATGGAATAGATCCAAAGGACCTATCAGTAACCATGTCTGTTCCAGCGCAGATCATCGTTAGAAGTATTATGTCTTCATTACAGTGGCCATAACAGGGGCACTGGCCCCCGTTGGCCCCTGTCTTGAACCATGGTGAGGAATGATGACACTGTGGAGAGGTACACTATTTGCTGAAGTCTCATGAAAAACAGAAAGCACAACCGATGTTCAAGGCTACAAGATTGAAAGTATTGAAAATAAAAGACCAATTCTTTTCTGTTTTGTGTTTAAGAAATTACTGTTAGTTAATAAACAGTTGTTGAAAAGTTGCTGGCCTTAAGTGTGAACGTATGGGGAACAGTGCGGGTCCGTTGTCCCTGGGAGGAGCGGGGGGATAAGCATCTACTTGAAATGAGTTTTTGGAACTTGGGGTGTCTGTTATGTTTAGGAAAACTGTGTTTGGTGGCTGACTTTTATTTCTGTCAGTCTGAAGGGACAGAAGTTGGAAAAAGACAGATTCTCTTCAGCTTTAAAGGACCTCGTTTATTTATTTATTTTAGAATTTTGTAAACAACAGCTGCTGATTAAACTTGATGTTACAACCGTGACATGATTATAGGAGTTGTTTTTAGCGAGAAATCAATCAGAAGCGCAGTGAAGATGGTCTCATCCTCTATGTCCAACTCTCTGGCTTCAATGCGCCACCCGACACAAAGAACACCTGGTAGTCAGTCAGAGCTTCACATCCCTGTGATTCAGTCTTTTTAGCAACAGCTAGTGGTGACTACTTCTTCTTCTGCACGGTAATGCTACAGGCTGCTTCCCTGCGCATGCTGCCACCATCTGGTGAATTCCAGTACAGCACATTTGACTTAGATCAGCTCAGAAGCGAGAGCTGGGTGGGGAAACATCTGGGGCTGTAGCCCAAGTAGCAGCCTCCTAGATCCGCTGGATCTGGAATCTGCTACTGTAAGTTGGGCATTTGTTCTTGTCTTGGGTTGCATAATCTAGAAGGGTCATAATATTAAATGTATTAATTTGCACAAATCTTTGAATTGGCATCATGTGCTTATGTTTCTGTGTGTGTTTGGTTATTAGACTCCCAGACAGGATGCATGAAAAAAGAAAAAGAGACATAAGAGTCTTTAAAAGTAAAAGTATAAGATACATTCAAAGAAACCCCTCCTAAAACACCTTCTCTGGCTCCATAAAGCAGCATATACTTCAAGATCCTCATCCGCATTATTAAGCTCTCAATAACCGTGTAAAGTATATTCGTTTTATTAAAACTGCTAAAAAAATTTATTATTGTTGAATATGTTGAATATTATTATTATCGTTAATAAGACAAACCTAGAATCTTTGAATGTATGGATTGTTGCACCCCAAATTGTCCAATTGTTCATTTCATGTGTCTATATATTTTGTCATGAGTGGGATAGCAGAGATGCAAGAGAAACTGGAGGAAACAAACACAGAAGAACTAAATAAACTAAAGAAGAAACAGGCATATCAAAATTTCTTCCATGCTTTGGGGAATGTATGTGGTGGCTCTAAATCTATTCTGAAGACAAACTTTTTTTTTTTTTCAAGACCTACACTAAGCATAGAAACATGCCGCGATCATTTTGGATTTCAGCTTCTGAACAGGTGGATGGATTTGAGTCGATGAATGTTATGAGTAACTTTGAGATCATAAATCTGCATTATGAGCTTGAGTAAACAAGAGAGGCTTTATCCTTTGAACCGATGTTAATCTTCCTGTTTCCTACTCTCAGACCAACCTATTTAAATATCTGTACGGTTTAAAGCTGAACAGTCTCAGAGCTGTGTTCCGTTTCTCATCCTTTCCAGGTCTCCACTCCAGACTGCACATTAAGATGCTCATTAAGCTGCTAAACTAATCTTAAAAGTGAGGTGAACCCCACATGAGCCTCTTCTCCTCAGAGGTAGTGAGTCGGAAAGCAGGAGGAGGGTAGCGCGATGCAGGTGAGCTGCAGGTGTGTGCGTGCAGAAAGGACTGGGGGGCGGGGCATAAGTACTACCTGCAGTAGGTAGTTTCGGGTTTCCTGCAGGTCGGTTCTTCCTGCTGCTCAGAGAAGAAGCTTCGCTGCAGCTGATCCGAACCTCCGATGAAACCTCGCAGGTGTTCTCAGACTGACCTTTTTACCTGATGCAAGCCCATCAAGCACGTCGTCACCAAGTAAGTTTGAGTCAGCATTAATGAGGTCACTTCCGCCTCCTTCTCACCTATTCTTCTTAAAGTTTGGACTTTTAAACAGAGTCGTGACACCGAACCTTTGTTGGTGTTCTGTCATGCGGCTTTAACCCCGCTCTTTCTATGAAACTGTGCGTTTTTAGCGCAGGTTTTCCTCTGCGCGCACACGTGTCAATTCTGTGTGTGTTTGTGTGTATGCGTGTGCCCCCGCGCGCGCCTGTGAACAGTCATTCAAAAACATTGGACCGAGTGCGTTTCCATGAGACTAAATAGAGTGAGAGGCGGAACCTTGTCTTTGAGCTGCTACTGTTCCTCCTGTCAAGTAATAAAATAAATAATAAACCTCTGAGCTTATTTAACAAAAGTTAGAGCAAGAGTACTGCCTGAGCAATCAGTCACAAAATGTTAAAAACATCAAACAAATCATATTTGTTAAAAAAAAGGTAGAATTAAAAAAAAAAATTGAAACACAATGGAACCCCACATACCTAAACCATATTAACTTAAACTTGAAAATACAAAATGAAAAATATAAACCTTAATTCAAATCCAAACAGAATAAAAGTATTCAACAGTATAATACTGTACTTTGTCTCAGAGCCAAGTGTTAAAGAAATCTTGAAATTTCTCTTTGAACTGTAATATGTTTTTTAAGACTCTAAAACAGACTTTTCTATCTCTGTGGTTTTGGTCTATTTGGACCGCTGGTTTGATGTATTAACACGAGACCTGAGCTGCAAGCATTTCAATTTCATACAATGAAATATTTTTTAAATTTCAGGCAGTAAAAATTTATTTTGGTCTCCAAAAGTGGGGTACATGCACCTCTGTCTGTATCATTTTCTAAAAGGATATATGAAGAACCTTTTTTAGTATTCAGTATGAGTAAAGATAAACGAATGAATTGGTTCTTATATTTTTTAGATGATTGAAGGCCAACTTTGTTACAGTCTTTATGTCTCCGTGAATGTTCAGTTTTGATTCCATCCTTACACTCAGATTTAGAGTTTGATCAGTGGTTTATGTCACACTGATTATCTTTGATTTACAGCAATTTTTTTCAGCCTGGCTGTTATTTAAGCACTTTATAAGTAAAGTTTATGTTGACAAGTGAATGAAGCTGTTTGCTGATGTTGATTGTTGCTTCTGTGGCCAATGAATTATTACTTCAGTTTTATTTTTATTAATCAATAAACATTGTTTTATCCTTGAATGGGTTCCTAGTAACCTGGTGACATTGTGATATATAACTGTGTGTTCTTTGTGTAGTTATGCCACGGCCAAAACTTTTAATCACTTTGACTGTATGATCTGGTGAATTGTAAAGTGCCTTTAGCTGACATTTGTTGTGAATTGGTGCTATATAAATACACTTAATTGAATTGAATGGTTTATTATAATCTTAGCTGAAGGCTGCATGTAACTATTGAACAGGGATGGACCCTTTAGGAGCCCACCTGTGATTTTATTTAATTTTGTGTAATGTAGTTACCTACTAGGGATGGAACGGTTTATGAAAACCGTCCGAACTGTTCGGTTCGACTGTCTCGGTTCAGTTCGCGTGTGTTGCGTTCGGTTCATGCGCAGCTCCTTTTTCTCATAGGCGAAGCGTGTACAGTCCAGAGCAGAAGGTGGCGGTAATGCAACCAAATCCAAC